ACACTTTATTTTTACTATTACAAAATCACTCCTGCATAATTATATTTTTAATCGTGAGATATATATTGTTTAACGTTCATTATTTAATCAATACTTAATTAAGTTAAAATGTTTAATTATGCAGAATAAAAAGGTAAATCACTTACAAATTTAGATCATTGGTTGGGATACCCCTTGATGCTCACTTTTTAGTAAGCAAAAAAAAAGAGAAAAATGGAAATTTTTTCGAAAAGAGGTGAAGAAAAAAATATTTTAAAAAACAACACTGTTTAGACTATTTCAAAAAATTTTATGTAGATAGGGGTGTGAGGAACAAAGTGAGGAATATTTTTGAAAGGTGAGGTTTTTTTGTTTGTTCGCAGGCTAAGCTGCAGCTGCTGTTGAACAGGCACTTTTTTTAAGTAAAAATTCTTGGAAAAAATCCAACGAGAAAGAGGGGTAAGGAATCAAATAAGGAATTGAATGGTAGTTATTTCATACGAATTGGAGCGATATTGACTGAGATCGTACATTTTTTGTTTATTGTTTTTTCTTAATATGAAAAATCATGTGATATGACATCATTTTGACTATTTCGCAATTTTAGCCTTCAATGGTTGAAATAATTTCAACCATTTTGACCATTTCGGATATCCGAAATAATCCATTTCGACTTCATGTATAATTAAGACCTTTTGGTTATAATATTCAGCAAAATTTCAGTTAGACTCAAGATTTGGCAACAAATTAATTGTATTTCACTGATTGAAATCTATTGAGCTAATTTTGTGAAATTAAAAAACATTTTAAGAGTAATGATCCTAAAGAGATGATAGAAATCATCTCTAAAGGAATGAATAATCATTTTCAAAAGAATAATAGAAATCGTTTTTAAAGAAACAATAGAAATTTTTTCCAAAGGAATGATAGAAATTGTTCCTAAAAGAATGAACAATTGTTCTCAAAGAGACAATAGAAATTGTCTCTAAAAGAACGAAAATTGTTCTCAAGAGACAATAGAAATTATCCCTAAAAGAACGAATAATCATTTCTAAAGAGACAATAGAAATTGTTTTTAAGGAACGAACTATTATTTCTAAAGAGACGATAGAAATTATCTCCAAAGGAACGATGTATCATCATTCTGAAAGAATGATTTGTGTTATCATTCTTTTAAAATGATTAAATTATTGTTCCTTAAGAATGATAATTTTTTATTGTTTTTAAGGAATGATTTATCATCATTTTTTCAGAATGATACATTATCATTCTTAATGAATGATTAAACTATCGTTTCTTTCGAACGATTTTATAATTATTTATAAAGAACAATTGAATTATCATTTCTTTTGAATAATTTTCTATATTATTTTTAGGAACGATCAAGATGTCATTCCTTTTGAATGATTTTGTCATTATTCATAAAGAATGATTTTCTATATTATACCAATCGGATGATGCAAAATCATCCATTGTAGCATTTATGATAAGTAAAAAATAATATCTAAATTTCAGATTAATCAAAATTTTAGTTCAGTTTATTTCTAGTGAGACAAATTTTGGGCAGAAATTTACTTTTTTCTTTCTTTTTTTTTGTTTTATTAAAAAATTCTTATTTTAGAAATTAAGGTAAGCAAATTGGAAGTGATTTTTAGATGGTTTTTAACTCTTTTTTCTTGTTTTTTTTTAGGAAATTTCTTTTTTTGAAACTAAGTTAAGCCTTTCAGAGGTAATACTTCTGTGGTTTTTCTACTGTTTTTCTTTACTTTCTTTAGAAATACATTAAGATAAACCTTTCGAAAGTGATATTTTGGTGGGTTTTTAATTGTTTCTTTATTTTTTCTTTACTTTTTTTAGGAATACATTAAGATAAGTAAATCAGAGGTGGTTTTTAGTGGGTTTTCTAACTGTTTTCTTTATTTTTTCTTTATTTTTTTAGAAATACATTAAGGTAAGCCTTTTGAAGGTGATTTTAGTGGATTTTCTAACTGTTTTATTTATTTTTTCTTTATTTTTTTTTAGGAATACATTAAAGTAAACCTTTCAAAGGTGGTTTTTAGTGGGTTTTCTAACTGTTTTCTTTATTTTTTCATTTTTTTTAGGAATATATTTAATTAATTCACCTGAAAAATAAAACATTTAACTCATCAACATTTAATAGAATATAAAGTATATCTTAAATATGATGACGCTTCAGGATATTTTGTGCATAATAATTCAAACCGGGATTCAAATATTTCTTTAAATAAAGTATTATGACAAATTAAAAATTTTTTTAAAATTCAGTAAATTGTATACCAAGAAAATGCATCATATGTTTTTTTATATTCTGAATTATATGAAAGATACAATGCAAGTATTGTGTAGTTGGAAAAACTGTTTTAATTGCTGGTCCCAATCCAGTATCACAATCCGAAAAAATGTTTTTGGAGGTAAATTATTTGTTGCTTTTAAAAGACAGTTAAGAATCCACATGTATGATGAAGTTGTTTCATCAGACATTAGTGCCTGAGCTACTAATCTTGAATGACAATATTCATCTACACCTACAAACAAACATAATGACATTCTATACTTATTAGTTCGAGCTGTATTATCTGTTAAAATAACATCATGATGCTTTAAATATAAGTTCTGTTAGAAAGATGTCATCTAAAATAAATGAAAAAGACGATTTTTAACACAATGATAGGCTATAAACCATGTAGGATCTTCTTCTTTCCTTTTTAGTAATTCTTTAAGAAGATTTGACGCATCATTTTCTGGATCTTGTTCAGGATCACCTTTTCGAAAATGCTGGATAGCATTAGCTAAATCTTTATCCAAAAACAATTGATTTTTAAATTCACGTAGTTGTAATGTGTGTTGATCAATTCCATAAATGGTATTCAAATAGAACTCAATTTTATCCGAGGAAGTTTATGGTAAACATTAGCAAAATGAATAGAATCAGGATGGAGGGTATTTCCAGAATAGTTTTATTTTAGTAATAGTTGGATGTAATGATTTAAGTGGACAATATGATAAAACAGTTTTATCGAGTCACGAGAACGTTGCTGCAAAGGATTTGTAACTGTTTTTTTTTGATTTAAATATTCCATGTTGACATTTAAAAACATACTTGTAAACACCACCAGTTTTTTTCAAATTTTTTCTTGAATTTCCACACAAATCCTATCTGTTTTCCATAAGCTAACAAAACCAAATTTACATGGTTCCAATGATCGAACTGCACAACCTAGATGCTTCTTCAAATGCAATATCAGGTATATTAAGAGTTTCAAGTGGTCTGCCCTTTGATGATCCTGAAGTTATTTGTTCTCTAGAAGTACCATTAATATCGTTAGAAAATTCAATAGTATTCATTTTATATAAAAGAATGAGAAATTTGTTGGAAAAAGAAGAAATCGTGGAAGAAATAATGTAATATAAAGCGTGGGAAAAGTGATTTATATTATATAAATTATTATCGTTATTCACATATTCATTTATATTCATTTTAATAATCGATAAATAATTTCCGGGCTTATTTGCTGATCCATGATATCATAGAATCTTTACTATTGATAAAAAAATAAATATTATATAATAAAGGATTCATTAAAAAAAAATATTTGATAGGATTTTGATGAGAATTCTTTTTATTATAGGAAACACCCTGATTAATTTGTTTATACAACTCATTTGATTATAAATATTTGTTTAGACTAGTAATTATTTGTTATTCAAAATTTCAAAATACATCGGAGGATATTAAAAAAAAAAGATTTGTTTACACGGAAATGATTGAAAAATTTGTAATTTGTAATAAGAAAAAAAAAGCATCTATTCGATACTATAAAACGACGAATGAAAAATATAAAAATAAAACGAATAAATTAAAATAAAGAATTTGTAAAGAATTAATATTCGTGTGTACGAAATCTGTTAAAAATAGATTATCGAAATCATTTGGATAATTACGTAATTGTTGTATAAGAAAGAGATACTTTTCCGAAAGAAAAAAGTTCTAAATAAATTTGTTAAGAGTTAAAAGTGCGATAAAAATGAAATGAAAGATTTGATCTCTCCATATACATAAATATGATGTAATTTTTTAATATTTACATTTAATGTAAAAAGTAAATAAAATTTCCAAGTTTAAAAGACCCGCACACAACATACGAAAAAAAGTAAAGTAAAAAAAAATTAAAAAAATAAAAAATTCGAACGTCACGTAAAAGGTTTTAAAAAGTTTTGATATACCCGAATCGAAATCTATCATTTAAAATTTAAAAATATATGCAGTTAAAAAAATTTTATAAGAAAAAAAAAGTCTAATTAATAAAATGGAAAATGACAATCGGTCCAAGAAAAAGGGGGATAAATTGAAAGATAGTGAATCAATCGATTAAACTTTCTTGTCCAATCGAATTGATATTTTCATTAGCATCTGTTTCTGCTCTTCCTTGAATTGCTGAATCATTCGCTATTGGTTCAATCTTTGATTCAATTTCATTTGATAAACCTTGAACTGTGGTAGAACCAAAGACTTCAACAACTGTTGTTTCAATTTCTTCTTGTTTTTGACCATCTTCTGATTTGACAGTAACTATTTTTGTAAAATCTTCAAACACGATCTCTTTATTCATCCTATTCCTGTTAAAAAACACTTCAGGGCTTGTACAAGCTCCTAAAGCTCTTCTCATATGATGTGTGAGGTAAGACAGCCCAACTTGATATGAGGCATTCATCCAACCGAAACCTTCGCGAGGTACATATTTGAAATCCACGCCGACATTACCGTATTCCACTTTAAGTAAATGATTTAATGTAACAACATCGTATTTTTCGGGTACTACTCCATTGTAATCAACAAAAGATTTCGTTATTGTATAAAGCCAACGATAAGCTAATCGACGTGCTTCTGTCATATATCCATAATTCTCAAGACCACGCCATGCCATAATTTGATGTGGTGCCCATCCGAACGGATAATCCCATTGTCGATTTGGACGGTCGAGTGCAATTGTTCCACGAGAATCTTCTGTCCCACTGACAAGTCCACCAAGAACTTCAAATTTAGGAAGAGATATTTTTCTACAATGATAAAACAAAGTAAAAAAAAAAAATATTTATTTAATAAACCAAGTTTTTTAAACAAAAATCAATATATTTGAATATCTGCATACATACACCAATTTTTCCGCCTGCTCTGAACTGGCACAACCGGCCCAAAGTGCCCAAAGAGTGGTGACAGATTCATAAACAGATTGTTCACGTTTAGAAGTGTCATAGTCATAATAAAGACTTTTTTCCTCATTCCATAAATATTTGTCAATTCTCTTTTGGCGCAGCGTCGCTCTATCAAACCAAGCAGTACTTGTCTCAATAGTTCCATCATCTAATTCGAATCGATCTTCAAAGATTGCTCTGATAACTTGACCGATATCAAGTTCATATTTATAAAGTAAACTGTTAAGATCAATAGTGGCAAGATGAGCGCACCTCTTTTCAAATCGATAAGTGGTATCATGACCAGATTCGCGAACTGCACGATCATGTAAGAAGTATTCGTCTAAATTAGGTTCATGAATTTCTTGGCTTTGATATTTTGATACATATTCTTTAATAGAAAGTCCTAGCTTGTTTGCATATGGTAAAATAACATGATCAAAATGACTCGCTTCTGTTTCCGGTGGAATACCAAGTCCAGTTGGATAAAATCTACTGAGACCAGTTATAGGATCGTATCGTGGAGAGCTCATCCATACTGTATGATATTCCTTGATTGCAGCATGAATAGCAGATGCAAGCCATTTTTTCTTTTCTTCCGTTTCATCGGTTAAACGTTCATAAACTTTAATAGCCATATCAGTAAGGAAAGGTGGTTGGGATCGGGTGAGATAATAACTTCTATTTGCATTCAATATTTTACCATAATGTGTTATCTCATAAACAAAATTATCTACCATTCCCTTTGCCATTTCTATCCTTCCATCAACAGCCAAACCCAAAGTTTCAAAATAAGAGTCCCAACCATACATTTCATTAAATCGACCACCAGGAACAATGAATGGTACACCTTTTAAAGTAAAATTCCCTTGATTATCAACATGTCTTTGCATGGCCAAAGCAAGAATGCCAGGTCGGTCATTGATACTTTTAACGTATTCTGGAGTAATTTCTTTTGGAAGTGTTTCAACATCTAAATTTAAATGTGGTCGTGTTTCTGCTACATTTTTATAATACTGAAGTTGTTCATCCTCACCAAAAGGAATGTAAATACGTGGTGAATGATCGGCAGTTCTATTTTTAGGATCAGCGCAGATAATTTCCAGTCCATCGGCATCAATTCTTCTTGTTAACCCATCCCAAAAATTATGTTGAATCATGCGACTTAAACGGTCAACAGGATTTTCATTCAAGCGAGCCTCATCTAAAACTATATGTTTACGTCCATGATCCTCTGCTAAAGCCAACTCTTGCAAAAGATTACTGAGCATATAAGTACCCCTGATCTCAAACTTTCGATGTCCACCTGAATCAGCAGTACCAACACTTAAAGACTTTGGACCCAAATCGTCAATAGTGATTTGATAGTCACCATTGGTATCTTCTTGCTCTAATATTAAACGTTTGGTTTCTTCCACATCTATCAAAAATCTACGTGGTTTTGTCATCTCATCTAGAAGTAAAATAAATTTAAATAATTATTGTATGAAAATGAGAATAAAGAAAATGTTTTTTTGAAAATGTGAAATAGAATGGAAGAGATAAGATATATGGTCTTTATAAGAAATCAATCCTAATACAAAGTCTAGAAGTCAGAAAGAACAAGAATATTTTGATAAATCAAGTTCATAAGCTTATTACAGTTATATAATGAATTCGCAAAAGGATTTGATTTTGACACTATTGGAAGAGGCTACCAATGTGATGATCTTTATAATATGAATGAAGAGTTAGGAAAATTAATATACCATGTGAAGCTCTTCTTTTGCGAGTTATTTCTTTATTTCCTGCTTTTCTCTGAATACTTTTTGACATCTAAAAAAAAAAAGTTTTGCTAAAAATTTAGCATATTATAAAACAATCGAAGTAAAAGTAAAATAGTATAAATAGTTAAATAATCAAAAATATATATATACTTTTAAAGAAAAAAAGATCAACCCAATAACATTTTTTTTTAAAAAAAAGGGAAATATAATACAAGAACTTACCACAAAACTCCTAACACGATTAACATTTGATTGATTAAAACTATTAACACCAGTACTATAATAGGTCTGCGAATCAGCGTAAATATTACTAACTTCCATGTCTGTCATTTTAATTACTGAAATTTAAATAATATTCGATATTTTTTAAAAAATGGTCAAAAAGAAAAAAAAAATAGAAGATAGTCTAAAGGGGATTGATGGATTGATGGTGAATAAATTTAAACGATGTCAAAAAAAAAATTTTTTTAATATATATATATAATATAGATAGATATATTATTTTTTTGAGAATTTTTTTTTTTTTTTCAATAAATTGTTTATAAGAAAAATAAGAAAAAGAAAAAAAGAAAAAAAGAGTGAGGAAATATAATATATATATACGATTTTCTAAATGGTCGGTGGCGGTGACAGAATTTTTGTCTAACCAAAATTCTAGTAATTGATGAGTTGATCAGTTGGAATTTTTAATGAACGTAATATAAATAATGTAAATAAATGCATTATATGATCAAACTAGTTTGAAAATTCGGTCATCGTTTCGTAGTAAGAAAATTTTTTATTTATTTCAAAAAAAGTATATATTTATATTTGTTTTAGCTTAATTTAGCCTGAGATCTGTAGAAAGAAAATCGAAAGTAAAAGAGAGGGGAGAGGAAAATGAAGATTAAAAAGGGGAACGGAAATTTATGTAGGAATTTAAAATAGTGTTTTATAAAAGATTGTAAAAGGAATAGAATTTAAAGATAAAGCCCTCAATTATCTTAAAATACAATAAATAGAACAATTAAATTAATTAGGATAAAAGAAGGCTTTTCTCACTTTTCTCAGTTGGAAGGAATTAGGAGACGGGAAGAGAAGAGATGTTGAGAGAGAACAACTACAACATGCTCAACTTGGGGTAAAGAAATTTTACACGAACGAACGGGAACTATTTATAAACCAAAATTATGATGGTTTTTTTCATAAATGTGGTGTAACTTGACGTGATCTAAGGAATTTTTTTTTACAGTAATACCGATATATGACTATATTTGGTTAATACTTGAACCTTAAATTTAATATATTGTAAATTCTTTTAAGATTGTACTGTATTATTTGTTTTTAAATCGTCATTCATATTGCTGCGTATTGTTTTTATTATGCAAAGTGCATGCCCCATCAACACGAGCTCAATTATCATTTAGTTTTTATGGTACCTTATTTGTTTGACAATTTCTAAATAAAGAAGAACAGCAAATTAAAAGGAATTTTTTTTTATATCATGATAATTGATTATTTTGTTCGCTGTGTAATTAAATTAAAATTGGTTCGTGTCACAAATATATGATTCTTTGTTTATGCATGTTTAAAAGTGCCTTGATGCTATGTCAATATCTGTAAAAAATCATATTACACCAAAATAAATATGCACAAAGATTTTCTTAATGCACGAAATGAAAAAAATGTCTCAATGTTCTTTTACAACTCGGTAATCCTTTATCTGATTTCATCTGATTCTCCAGGGAACATTTATTTTCGCATACAGTGTGCATAGCATCACAGCATTATCATTTTAATTAATTATCTCGATTTTGATTCCTTTTTTTTTTTTTTACCTAAAACGTCTTCGAAATCATGAGTGTTTCAGAATTTATTTCAATGTCGAGAAGTCATGAAAATTAAGGCAATCTTCAAGTGAAAATATGTAAAGCAAATTTCGATTTCTTGATCCATTCATTTCATTATTTTTTTTAATGCGGGATAACGTTCCCCCTTTTTGTTCCATGCATCTGCATTAAGACTTTTCGTCCTTTAAATATTTAAAACTGTGGAGGAATTAATCAATGTATTACAGAGTAATAAACGCTGAAATGTTCTATGTGCATGGGTTAAGAGGCCGTGCTTCCAGAATCTCCAGACCCATGACTTGAGAATTTGATTTGATTTTACTAATCGGAAAAGGCGTTGCTTCATAAGTTGTTGTGGAACTTTATATGATAATCCGAGTTAAAAAAAATTAAAGTTATATATTGTTCAATTGAGTATATAAATTTGTGTAACAAAGTTCATTTAATTTATCAGTAATTATTCTTTTATGTAAGTCGAAAGTTCAACCTGGGTACTAGGATCCTTTCCTCATTAATGAAAGTTTACAATAAACAAAGAAAAAAAAAATTTTTTTTTTTTTCTCCTTTTTCTTTCTTTCTTTCTTTTTTAAAAAAGAAATTATTTTACTACTTTAAGTAAAATTTGCAAAAAATTGATATTCCTTTTTAAATTTTGCCATTGTGGATCCTTCGCCTTTCGGTCTTCAATAATTTTTAATTTAGAAAACACGCGTATATGTGAGAAACTTTTAGAAGAATCTTAAAAAAACAAAGAACAATCGAAAATATTCAAGTGATTCTTAAAAGGATAAAGTTCTTAAATATATATAAATATATATAATTAGACAATGCAGAGAAAGATGGATACGCGTAAAAAAAAAAAAAAAAAAAAAATGATAAAAAAAAAATGATAAAAACTTTTTTTTTTTTGTTTGTTTTAATAAATGTTGAGCAACTTTCTAAAATAGTAAATAAAATGTTGATGATGAACCTTGAAGCTGTCAAAGGACATACAAATTGCATAAACAGGTAAATAAGCTACGAATTTAGAAAATTAAAATAATTACAAATTTTTGACATGCCTGCTGTGCTATCGTTTGTCGTTACAATTTATTTGTATTTGAAATCATGAATTATATTGTTCATGTAATAATTTCTTTGTTTAATATTTCAATTATAAATGAAGACAAAACAAGCTTTTATTTTATTTATTTATTTATTCTTTTTTTTTTGATTAATCTTAAATGTAATCTTAAGATAAACAAAATATTGTTCTTTACATAATTAAATTTCGATCTGATGATTAAAATCTATTATTGTTCTTGATGTATTAGTTTCACATGAAAAATAAATTTTTTTTTGATCTTGATCTTTTATCAGTTTTTATAAGATTTAATTAAAATTTAATTAATTTATTGTTTGTTACAGTACATATTATGTTTTCAAACTATAAAAAATATAAAAAATCTTAACCTATTTCAACGTGACTTGTCATTAAAATCGGTATAATAATTTTTGTATATATAAATTAAAATAATCTTCTTTCATTTACAAATTAAATAGAAATAATTCCACACTCATCCACTTAAGATTCAAGATAGACCATTGACAAGTTTCTCCAAAGATTCAAAATCTTCATCGTCTAGTTTTTCCAACGCGAAAACCTAGACTACACGTGCCTGCGGACGCGATAATCTTTTATTCATGGTTGATGTAATGGAGGGTAGAGGTAACGTCAAAAGAAATTCCATTTCTTATATATGTAGATATCATATAATGATAAAACTACAATAGAAGTTGCAAGCGAAATTGTATAAATTTAAGAACAAGCGAATTTATTTATCACAGGTACTCTTTACGCGAATTTGTAACGATGATAATATTGAAAATAATACCAGTACATTTGTAATTGAATTGCGTGAAACAGCATTTATTTTATAAAATGTAACTGATGATAGTTTAGTGATTATTGATGAACTTGCAAGAGGTTAATTATATTTTTTTGATTAACTTTGTCCAATTAAATGAATAAATTATTCACCCCTTCAAATTTTTGAAAAAAATGACTGTAAAGGAATGTCTACACATGATGGATTGGGAGTAGCATACGCAATTTTGAAGAACAAAGGTAAAGTACGAATGATAATATTGATTTCCATTGTTCATACTCCTTTGAAAGGCCTTATTTTCTTCGAAACACATTTTCATGAACTTACAACAAGTTTAACTGTGTATCCCAAAGTTGTGAATTTGCATTCGGAAGTTGAGAAGTTTCACATAAGATTGGCAAAAAAGTTCATTATACTTACTTTATTTTCAAATTTAACCTTTTTGGATTTTTAGTTGAAAGATCTTATCGATAAGTACAGTATACCTAATTTATAGTGAATAAGGTAAATTTTAGTGAACAACATTTTATGATTGAGTTTATTAGAAGATTAACGCTAAAGAATCATAAAATGTCTTAAGAAATGGATTAAATCTTCCTTAGACAAATTAGTAGAAATACTTAGTTGAATGGGAAAAGGAAGAGAAATAAGGATCGATTTTATACTGAATAAAGATTATATCAGTCAGTCTGGTATTATTAATATTTATGTAGGTTCAGATTTGACATTTATTTCTTACAAGTGTTTAGGACTAAATATTAATATGATAAATATGACTGACAATTACTTTAATTACTTTCGCTGCTAATATTTATAGTGAAAAGTCGAAAAATGTACCGGAGTCCCTCAGGCAGTGTTGTACACGAACGTTGTCCCGGTGATTTTGGCGGACACGGGACGTCCGAAAGTCCATGTCCGGGACTGTGTCCGCAGGACAGTTGGGACATGGACCGATATTAGATATCTTTTGGCCAGAATTAACGAGAGATATGGCCAGCATTAATGCGGACAAAATGTCCCGGGCATAAAAAAATCTCGGACATGGACACGGACAGTCCGGTCTGGTCTGGTCCATGTTCGTGTTGCCCTCAGGTTATAGAAAGTAGAAATCTCTGCCGATCATAAATACTTATTCCTAGACTGAATTCCTAGCAACAAGAGAAATATAAGAGTATTATTCTGAGAAACTGCCCAAAATTATATCACATTATTGGAATTTTGTAAACAGCCACTGTATTGCAAAGTTTGATGTCGTTGTTAGTCCAAAACAGAAGGCCATTTAAGTGTACAGTCGAACGAATTCAATATATGCGGTATATAACTTCGTGAATGATGAAGGCAAGATATGAATAGAAAGGGGAAACTGCCGGAAAATAAAAAATGAGTTAAAGCTAAATTTGACCTGAAAATCATATCTGGTATATAAAATTGATTTTTCCCGGCAGTTTCCCCCTTTCTATTGCAAAGGCCCCATATTTGCTAGAGGATGTAAAATTCCGAGAAAATGTGATCGCTAGTTACAAAAAAATAACATTGAGTTCACTGTATATATTGAGACTCCATCGAAACCATTAAATGTGTCGAAAGTTATCTATTCGTACTATTATACAAGATCATACTAAAAAACCTTGTCAATAAGACATTATGGGCAAGGAAACCTCGATTTTGTGATAGTGTGTCATTCAACTAGAAGGATAGCCGGATTATTTGTCAAAAAGAATGACATTAAACGGAGCTTCGTGTAAGCTACCATGTTATTCCATTTTTCCGCATCGGTTACAATCCCCATACTTCATTCATATTCATCATCGATTTCGTTTACGAGATGATTTTATCTGTACTTGATGAGGAGAAAAAGCCGTCGTAGGGAATTAGAATTAAGGAATAGATAGGCAATAGTTATCCCAACCATTTATTTCTTTTCGTATATGCTATCTTATATAATATGGACCATTTATTTTTTTTTATTACATCAACGCTATAACGTAATAAAAAAAATTATTTTACACAAGAAAAAATGTCACGGTTTTTCATAATCTAAAACTTATTTCAAGGTGTAAAGATTCTGTCAGCTTGATTCTAAATAACATGAATTGGTTGTATCAAATCCAATGTCACGAAAAAATTGCAATAAAAAAAGCTTCAGTAAATAGTTATATAAGTGGATGCCCCGAAAGTTTATTCTTAATTCTAAATTTTGACCGAAACACTTAAGTGATTTTTGATCGCAAAAGATTCTTCACGATTACACCTACAATGTGGTGATAATGCTATAGCAAACATGTTTGAAAAAAAAATACAATCTAATCTCTATCGAAAGAATACACTTAAGTTAGTTGAATGCTAATATTCATTTATTGATTAAGTTTTATTGCAACGAATCATTGATTTAACGCTTGATAAATGAATGCTAAGAAACATTAAGTATAAACAAGATAAACAAGTAATTGCATGTAAGATATTCCGCATTTACTCAACTTTTCCATTTCAAAAGCGATTCTGAGGCTTACTGTAATACAAACCAAGCTTGAACGTAAAATTGATCTTTAGCATGTTAAAGGAATATCCAGTATATTCTGATAGGAACAATGTCATTTAAAAGGTGAGCATGAATCTAGAGTTAAGTTATTAATAACATAATATTGAACAAGACTTGATGAAGCAGAAGGATTCATTTGAAGAGCTTTATCAAAAAATAGAAATGCTAGAAATTAGTAAGCTGTAAACATTATGTTCAGTAGTCTCCATATAATGATTAATTACTTTATCACGCATCTATGTTAAATTTATTGATAATCAGATTTTAAATAATTTGATTGAATAGAACTAAATTCTTGAGAATATTAATTAAACTAAGTTGAAATTGTTTCATAAATATTGAAAGAGCTATCATAAATATACCTTAAGGTAATATTACAAATTATCCAGCAGAAATTAATTGAGAAAGAATAATATTTTTTCCTTTAGCAATCTAGTTATAATAGGAAGCATCAAAAGGATATTAGAAAATGACAATTTCTTTTTATACAAAAACTGGATGTAAGCATTAGGTTAGTAATAAAACTGAAAGTTGATTGTAAATAAAAGTAATTATTGGTATATAGTTAACAATTTCTTAATTTATGATGCAGCTATATAAGCAATAATGATTAACAAAATAATAATATATATAATAAGTAAAATCATGTAAATATAAGCAGAATAATTATTTTATTAAAAAAATACACAGATAAACTACAAACTAAAAAAAAAAGATTACAAAAGATGGATAAATTACAGAATAGAAAGATATATAATATTATGAAATTTTTTAAGGGTAAATTTTTGTAAGATTTACATTGCCTATACAACCCTTTGCAACTCTTCTTAACCTTTTACAATTTTAAACTGTAAATATTATACAAGATATATTTAATGTAAACCTTCACAATATTATATTTAATGTAAACCTTCACAATATTATATTTTATAAACCTTTGTAAACCTTTGTAAACTTTCACAATATTATGGTATAAATCTTTGTAATATTTATACTTTTAGTATAAATATTACAGAGTTTATGTTTAAAATTTTTTCTGATAATAATCTCAGATAAATTAATTATCAAAGAAAATGAATAATTAATAAATCAAATAAAAGATCAAAAAGTCAGATAATTAATGAACTAAATGGAAGGTCTTAAAGAAAAACTTAGAAAATAAAATAAAATAAAGTTAAAGAAGTAATACAAATATGTAGAAAGATTATACAAAAGGTATAAAATTAGAAATCATAAACTGAATCAAATGGAATTTTATGTAATATAAAAATAACATATGATATTATAATAGTAATAATTATAAGAAGAAATTAGATAGGTCTCGCCGCCCTATCTCAGTTGATAATAACTGAGACCTATTGTAAGTTACATTGCAATAGACCCTAGTTCAGCCTCTGGCCAAGGCAGATCGTAATAATTTAATTTATGGGATTTACTGGTTTGATTCCGGGAATGAATTTCATAGGATGCGTATAAACCATATACGTTAAAGATCACGAATTTGTAAAATATGATGACCAATTGATAGTTGTTTACATGAAGGATGGTAGCTTCTACATTATAAGCTGTGTAAGGTCACTTCATCTATACACCACCCTGATAACAGGTAATAGTGGTAAGTAACTTGATGCATAGTGAACCAATTGAGTTTGGAACCTATATTAAGGGGCTGGTCTGTAATGAACAAGTGCCGCATCGTCTGCAAACGGTACTCATGAGGGTAGGTCAATGGTAAACACTGTATAACTTGGATTGAACAAAAGTCATAGGTTATAGGTGGTTAATATTGCACTGTCTTCAATCATCGTGGTGTCTATATCACAACTAGGGTTTGGAGATCTGGGTTCGATTTTTTAGGTGATTTTGACGTATGGCGAGGCAACTATAGTGTAGGCTATCATCTTAGGTTATTCTTGACCCTCTTTCTAGTAGTTGTAATGAATGTAAATGATGGCTGAGTACCATATCTCTCTACCCTGCGGGTTAATTAGTTTGGCAGTCTACTCAGATATTGACATTCATTCACCTAGGTTTAATTCTAACTCAAACTAGTTTGAAATATAGCAAAGGGGTTTATAGTAGACTTTACGTGTTGTAAGATGTATCATTCTGTTGAAGGGTATGCATCTACATAAATTACCACTTGTGCGTGCCTAGTAAAAGTATCAAAAAAAAAAAAATGAGAAGAAATTACAAAAAGAAGAAATAAAATGAAATAAATAGTATAAATTACTAAAATAATTAAACATTTAAATAAAATGTTTCAGAAATAATGGAATTAATAGATTAATTTAGATATAAATATAGGAGAATTTATATTAATTTAACAAAAATATTTATATTTTCTTCAAATTAAAAAAAAAATAATTACTTTAATAAATAAACTTTAAAATATAAATAAATAAATAGATTTTATTTGAAATGATAAGCTGTTAAAAAATAAAATTATGGAAGTAAAAAAGTTATTCTATTGATATTAAATATAATTACAATATGTTTGACTGAAAGTCATTTGACCAAATCTATTTGTCACTGCATTAAACATTACACTTTAATTGATACGGTTATTATAAAATTGTTATTTATATTATGCATATGGATGGCAAATAGTTTTCAGTCAAGTAGCTTTCAGTAAATGTCTAGATATAATTAAATATATGTATATAAAATTTCTTATCACTTACTTTACTAGTTTATATTAATTATTATTAATATAATTATAAAAAGAAATTTATTTTATAAATTTGTTTATTTAAATATTAGTTTATTAATATATTGATTATTCACCTAGATTTCTTTTTTCATAAGATAATAGTTTGAATTATTAAGTTTTATAACTTTTAATTAATTAAAAATATATTAAAATGTAAAAAATAATTATATATATATTAAAATAATTTTATACTAATTAAAAATTCTTATACTATAGGTAATATATTTCTTTATTATAAATATAGAAAATATAATTGGCTTTTATTCTTCATTTTATTTAGAATTCTTATATAATATCTATTTGTTTTTAGTTTTATTGTAATTTAAATTGCTTCTTTTACAAGATAATATGATAAAAATTAATTTTGTAAGATAGTATTAATAGTATTAAAACATAAAGTAGCATGAAAAAACTAATTTTAAAATTATTAATAATTTTATCAGTATATACATCATATACAATAAGACAAGTCTATTATTCTATATGAAGTTATAAGTAATTAGATTTATACATAGATTATATAATAATCATATGTATTTACATGTATGTAATTATATTTATATTCTGTGAATAATTTAGTTAAGGAAGTGACATATATTAATTTATCATAAGCATCTACTCCTTACCCCTAGTAAAATATTCTGATCACATGAATACTGATTACTTTCTTTTATAGAATTTATAAATCAGTTATAATAAAATATACTA